TTCACTCTTAATTTTAACATCAATATAAGCGATGGGATATTATTATTATTATTATTATTATTATTATTATTATTACTACTACTTTAAGAATTAACAAGGGAATGGAACTTTTTTGTGGGAAAACCACATCAGACACATTTTCTTAAAGCATCTCTGGAGGAGACCTTTAAGATGTTGACTACTTTATAAATACCACCATAACAACCTTGCTGGTGGTCAAACTTCCCAGCTACCCCAAGCTTTCTAAATAAAATAAAACTCTGCATGTTTGATGTTCACTGTCCACTATAATAGTACAGACTACACAGAACCTTCCAGGGCACATGGTAAACATGGTAAAGGCTGAAGTCGCCTGTGCTCTGCTCCCTCCTCCATATTAGCTCGAAGAGTGTGCACTGAAAACTACACTTACTCATTTAAAAAATACAGTATTTTAGAAATATATTTGACTTCCTTAACACAGTAACGGAGTCACTCCTATCTCTGCACCGGCTCATGAATGTGATAACCTGTGGAGTCCATCAACTCTGAGCTGACTAGGTAATTGGCTCAAGGTGCGGGTGTTTTAACTGGCAGCCCTTCCACCAATAGCTGCAATGATTTACAGCCAAAATGTTTCCACAAACCGTCCCGAAGCATCCGCAGCAGCTCTCCCGGAGATATAACGAGCGAGAACCGTCCCGCCCGGAGCAGCCGGCGGACTTTAAACCGTCCGCCGGGCTTCCAGAACCTTCCCCCTCTCCGCCGCCCGGGCTCATCACCTGATCGCCTGTTTTCCAGCGGATGCAGCCACGGGGGTTTGGGGTTTTTTTGCACTCACCGTGTTCTTCTTGTGCACCATTTTATCCAGCTTTTTGGCGATTCGCTCCACCTCCTGGTTTTTAGCCATTTTGAGCGGGTTCCTGCCTCAGTTGTCCTCCTGCGGCGCGGTGAGAAGCCCCATTGATGAGGAGGAAGGAACTCTCCCTGTCTCTCTCTCTTGACTCTCTTTACGCAGCCTGTCTGTCTCCTTCTCTCCCAGCTGCCGCCTGCCTCTCGTTTGTTGTTGTGTGTCACCGTGGGACGCCGGGAGTTGTAGTTTTTAGTTTTGGACTCTGTCCAAATTAAGCTCAGGGGCGACTTGTCCAGAACTTTTAAAGGAGACTCGGCAGTCCCGCAGTGTCCTTTATTTTATCATTTATTATGTATTAATCATTACAAACAGCGAGGGCTAATACTGGATATGGATCGATATTTACATTTTATTTCATTTCTATTGGTGAACGGATCAGGGAGAATTCCATTAGGTTAATTTTGTGAGGCCGTTGCATCATCATCATCCTGCTGCAGGATATATATTTTACACAATGTGATTTTCTTAATGTATCCATCTTTCGGGTTTGGAATTTAACCAATAAACCAGTTTACACAACCTCCACGAGAGAGGACTGTCCGCGAGCAGCTCCCTCAGCCAATGAGATCCTTCCCTCGGCTGTCCCACGGTGACGTCTCGGCGTGGACTCTCCTCAGGACCAGATGACGTTCATGACACAGTCAAACTTTATTCATAAAGCACATCACTAATCACAACAGATAAAGAAAAAAAAAAAAAGCCAACACAAGTGAATCAGAGCAGATGGCTGCATGAGAGTCACTCTGCTACTGCTCTCAGGTTGATGACATTATGATGACATTTCCATTTTTATGCTTTATTATTTTTCTGACATTTTGTTTTACACTTAAGAAACATTCTAACTACGTAACGTTGATCCACATTGAACATGCATTAGTTCTTTGTACAGCACACACAATGCACAGATTCCTCTTTTTTGTGATCTAGTTTTTATTTTTCAGTAACAGATAATTCAGCCTTTACATAATTGGTTAATACACATGAATGATTTTAACATCAATATACAAGCATTCAACTTCCTGACAAAAGCCTTATTTGTCCCCTTCAAGTCTTAAAGTTCCCTCTTTTTCTTCCTACGCCCTAAATGGCACATGGGTAAAATAATAAATAAATTAATAAAGAAAGAAACAACAACAACACAGAGAGACACAAAAAGAAACAAATGAAGAAATAATAGATACATTTGAGAATATGTATATATATACACTGCGTACAACACACACATATACATGCACATTGAACTTAACTGGCAAGAAATAAAAGAATAAATAAACATCAGTCATAAAGAAGCTTGCACAAAAGAAACAATTCAATCAATTCCAATTTTATTTGTATAGCGCCAATTTCATAACAGAAGTTATCTCAGGACACTTTTCAAATAGAGCAGGTCTAGACCGAACTCCTTTTAACATTACAGAGACCCCAACAGTACCACCATGAGCAAGACCTTGGGAGACAGGGCAAGGAAAAACTGCCTTTTAACAGGCGAAACTCGACCAGACCTTCGGCTCTAGGCGGGTGGTCATCTGCCTTGACCAGTGGCGGGAAAGAGGAGAGAGAAGAGAGAGAGAGAGAGGAGAGAGAGAGAGAGAGAGAGGGTAACGTAGACAATATCTTGATGATGGTATGAGCATTTATACCGACTGTCATTATTTCATAAAATGTAACTTTCCCCAGCGCCCTGGACAGAGTATCAGTTGTATTTCCCTTCACATCATTGATTTGAGCTATAGAAAGGAATGAGAGGATCCACTGGGAGAGCCTGAGTGTATGAGCTTTCCATCTTAATACTAACAGTTTTTGAGAGATTCCTCTTAAGGATGGGGTAAAAGTACTTCTTTTTATAGTAATAAAGGCCCTACCCTTATGATGGCGACACAGAGCTACATGGATGTGATTTCAGAGAGCAGTTTAAGCAATAATTAAAATACATTGTTTGTGTTAAAGGTTAAAAACCTTGTTGGGAAATGAACACAAACCAGCTGATCAGATATGACTGAAAACCCTCGTCAACTTTAAATTAGATTTCATTGTGGTTCATTCAGACACAGCCTGCATGCACTTACTGTGTCCTTCCTCTAGATGTCAGTGTTGTTATTTTGTACTTGTTGATAAAAGCATGCAGTAAATGTGTTTCTATAACAGACCAAATTCTGTAAAACATACCATTTAATTGGAAACTGGAAACAAATTGGGGTCTGATTTTGACTGCAAAGAACCCTCTGCACACTCTAGTGCAGTGCAAGTATAAAGCCATCCTGGGACCCGATGGAGGTCCATGGATATGTTTTTCAAGTTTTAAAAGTGCACAAGGCAGCAGATAAAAATTAACAAATTATAAATATATAAATCTAATATAAAATGTGATTAAATGGATTCGATTTGTAAATAATAGAATCAATTTCACGAATAAGAAATAAAGAAAGTCAAACCAGGATAAGCTCTTTAAGAAAAGTTTCATTTAAGAAGAGATTAAAAGATGATTCTGACTTATGAGTGAGGAAGTTTCATTCAGAATGAAAAAAAAGATTTTGTCATTGTGTTTCAAAGGTTCTTACTGAGTAAATAACCGAGTACAGAAGAATTTAATAAAAACATGTCACACAAATATCAGTTTAGTTTTGGGAATCTGCCACGACACAGAATAGTGAAAGCAGCAAATAGAGCAGTGCTCCCAAGGTTGAGTTGGGTTGGATAAATAGGAAAAAAACTGCTTCACAAAATGATGCAAAATTATGTTTTTTTCCCTTCCTTGTGAAATAGGCTGCTGGGTATTTTCGTCTCTTTAGGGCCTCTAAAAATACTCAACTAAAACTAAAAATCTCTATTTGGTGGACATTCATTTACGTCCACATTAAAGGGGAACCAATTTTACACATCAGTCTGTTTTTGGCTGTTGAGGAGTGCTTCTGCACATGTAAAAAAAATAGTTTTGTAAAGCCTTTTGTGCCATGCAAAGTCTGATAAATGTCCTCAGGTGATGTCATTTGAGTCAATGTAGGTTGGGCTACTAGATTGAAAATGAAATGTTGGTGTGGAGTTAGAAAGAAGTGAGCTTACCAGATCTTTGTTGCCTGCTCCTCATCTCAGCCTGAAACTAGCTGCTTACAACTACGTTAGCTACTAGCACAACACAAAAGTTGTATTGTGGGTAATGTAGGCTCCGCAGTGTGACAAGGAAGAAAGTGTTGAATAAAAAATGATAGTAACTGGTTCTGCCAATTTATTTTTTCTGTTATTCATAAGAGCAGCCAAAGATTGACAGAGGGGGGAGATCCATGCAGAAAATATCTACTATCAACAAATTTCTTTAAAAATAAATGGTATAAATGGATCTAACAAATTTTTTTTTTAAAACAAATATTCAGATAAAGCAGGAATTTTGCCTGCTAAAAGAATACTAAAAATGTTTTTGAACCTTCAAATGCATCCAGGGAAAGGCTTAATCTGTCTCCATTTGGTTTCTGTTCCTCCAAACATTCAGTCCCTAAAATACTCCCAACTCCTGTGCTGTCAGCGTGGTCACCTCTCCAAACCTGTGCCTGCTGCTTGCTCGCGGTGCGTGACGAATAGAACAGACGCTGGTTGCTGCGAGCTGGCCGCTGAGTACCCTGTCTGAACGGCCCAACAGGTTAAAATGGCCGCCGAAAGGAAGCGGGCAGTGCTTCGGGGGACGTCTGCCTTCTGTGTCCCTAGCATATTGGGTTCAAAAACTGAGATTAAAGGTTTGGATATATATTATTGGCGTACTCAGCAGCGAATTTTGATTTTAAAAGTAGCAGGGTACATCAAGTAAAATTACAGGCTTGAAAAAATACAACCCCAAAAATTACTTAATTACAGTAACGTGAGTAGTTGCTTTCACCCCTGGATAAGGTTTTACTAGTAGACTTTGCATCATTTTACAGGGGTCAAAACCAAAACAGGTTGGGAACCACTGCTTTAATATCAGCAAAAGATACATCCTGTAAGACAGAGGGTGTTGATTTATGTCAAGGACGAGCAAAAATAACTAGAAACATCCCATATTCTATGTAATCCAGAAAATATAACATTTTAAACAAATTTGCCAACATTGGCCTCCAGATACAACTCGCTTAAACTCTTCTGTAGTGGTCCTGTCTATTTCTCTCTCTCTAAATTTAAATCAGACGCTCCTCTCTGCATTCCAGACGAGTAAATAATTCTTGGAGAAACTTTTTTCTTTTGGTCTCATGAATTCTTGTTGCTTGATGTCTGCAGCCAAGAACCTCCTCCAGCTGAAGGATCTGCAGAGCAGAGCTGGCAGCGACTTCAACAGCTGCTGGGTGAGATAGCTGCCAGTCCGAGTGTGTTTGTGTGCGTTTACTACAGAGAACCTGGAGAGCTCGGAGGTATGCAGCGAGGGAGGAGAAGATGCAGAGGAGAGAAGCTCATGCAAGAGCTTATTGAAAGGAAACAAAAGCAGCTAAGGTTTCCTCATCTTTTGTGCTTTTCCTCTCATCGTCACCTCTGCTTTTTCTTGTTTTTGTTCTTCCTTCTCTCATGTTTCTTTTTTCATGTATTAATCTGGAAGGTTTCCTCATCGCTCCCCACAGATCTGATGCTTTCGTCTTTAGTCACTTCCTTCGTGTATGTCATTTATTTTGCACAGTATTTGTCTGTTGCACTTTGTTATAACTTTTCCATTCAGGTGCATGGAATCTATGCTCTGTTCTGTTTTCTTCTTTTATTTACATCTTTCATCTCTTTTTCTTTCTCACACAATATGTTGTCTACTCCTCCCTCCACTCATCTATTTTTTCCTCCTCTTTTTCCATCATCTTCTTTTCTCCCTCCTCTGTCCTCTCGTCTCTCTTTATTATTTCTTCTCTCATCTCTCCCCTTTTCCCTCCCCTTTTCTGCTCACCAGTCTCACCTTCTCTTCCTTTTCTCCCTTCTTTCATCTCTCTTTACCTTTCCTCCCCTTACCTCCCTCCATTCACTTTCCTTCCTCCTCTTCCTTTACCACTCCAGGTGTTTCTCTTTTCATCTCCTCTACTCCTACTTTCTCATCCCTTCCTCTTATTTTCTTCTTCTCCTCTCACTCATGATCCTGCCCTCTTTCTTCCTTTTTCGCCTCTCTCTGCAATGTTTTGTCCTCATGTCCTTCTCTCTCCTC